CGTACCCAGCGTGCACACGCGAAAGAAGAGGCCAAGCAAGTCCAATACGGAGTCAACGGTGTCCGGAAAGGCTGGCAATGTGACAAATGCTATAATGGAGCCAGTGTAACAGGATGTTATAATGATGGTAAAGAGCCAATAGGAGCCGATCAGAAGGCGCGTTGAGGTCTTCTCCGTATTGCCCCATGAATATTTGCCGGTAAATGTGAAGGCATTCGTGAACATGCCAAAAACGTACCAGAACATATTCTCAATTTCGCCCCAGTTACCCAACAGATGCCTCAGTGTCAGGCGATCTGTAAATACAATCGGAAATATGCCACCGAGATAAACACAGATCAGTGCCACCCATACGGGCCACTGAAAGGGTCCCATTATGGCACGATACTTGGGCAAGGCCTTGGATGCCAGAGTTATGAATGCTGCACAGTCTCGCGAATGCCCCACCGACATGTCTGTGGCACGCATTCGGTCCACGGTTATATAAATGCCGGACATGCCAATATCAACACCGCCCTCGGCAATCTGATATTGTATGTTCTCGACGATGCTGCGCGAATTCAGTAGATTGGGCGTCTCTGTTATCTCCACGGTGAAATTTAAACGCTTCGCTATTATATTCAACAGACGCATCTCAATGCCATCCCAACGCAGTGTGCCCATGCCCGAGGAGTCCAGCGACTTGATGCGAAATATGTACGGCGGCTGATTGGCGGCCGATACCTGAAAACGGTGTCCGGCAAAACCATTTTGAAATTTAGCCGGAAACAGATCGATGTGCGGACGCGACAAAGCGCCTCTGATCCAGCTGGTCAATACGATTCCAGTATTCGAGCCCAGGCCATCCGCATACAGTTTATGCGTGTATAGCACAAAGGGCCGCTCCTGTAAAATCATTTCTTAAGTTAAGTGGGTTTTATTATTATTATTTTTTTTTTTTTGAAATAAAATAAATGTATATCTTAAATAATAATAGATTTAAAGCCTATCGCAATCGTTAACCAAGTCACATTCTGCTCAGGCGGATCGGATTTTACGAAAAGTGTGAAAGTTGAGACAGTTCAGAAACTGAATTCACGCAATCGCCAAGAACGGGTGAATTTGGCGAACAGTGTGAAAACTCGCCCTCTATGAAAAGGAGTTTGAGTTTGAGTTTTCTAGACAGGTTTTTTCACAATTTTATTGTTGCGATTTAAGAGAAAAAAAAAACAAAAATTATATTAAACTAACTTCAGCAAGCAATTCTTTTGGTTTTCTGAGAATTCCCTTTTAAAGTATTTAACTAAATGGAAATTTCTATTTAATCTTTAGAGATCAAATCCAAACTATAAACTCGACCAGCTTTTGCTCTGTTAAATTTTTGCTACTGAATAAATTCGGTTATTCCCGTGAACAACTAAACGGACACCCTGTATTTATGCTAGCTGTGCACAGTCATACTCACGCGCTCTGAAATTTCCATCAAAGATTCACCAATGACCAACAGATTGACAATATTCGACGATAGATCGGAGCTGAGAAAATCGCGCAACTTCCACTGTGATGAGCTGGAGACCAAGACGACGCGACTCTCCGTTTGGGGACCCAAAATCTTGCGTGTCATTAATGGTTCGGACAGGAACAGTATATAGCTCTTGCAGTTGTTATCAATATGCCTGGTGAAGTTGGGATTCTGTGGCTCGTAGCGCTCATTGATCTCGCCATGATAAAATGTAACTGGCATGGTCTGCTTGGGTGTGAAACACGAAAAAAAAAAAAGAAGAAGAAGAAATTAAGACTCTAGAGCTGCCACTTGCCATCCCAGTACTCGCCTTAAGGAGCGTCTCCAACAGTTGGCCCTTTGATTTGGCCACCTGCCTGTCGTAGTAGATGACCGGCGGGCATTTGGCCAAATACTCCTTGGCTATTTTGTGGACCAGCGTTACCAGTGAGTGGGTCTGATCGAAATTGTGCGATGCTAGAAATTTGCTGGCCAAAAGTTCGGCGCGTGGCTTCGGATTGCCATGGAACGTGGCATCCACACGCCGCTTGAAGCGTCTCTCATGGCAGTTGCCATAAAGCTGTTCGTTCAGGCGATGTCGCTCAATCAAACGGCGACTCACACAGTTTCCAGGCCAAGTTCCAGCGTTGTTCGCAGCCAAAGCAAACCCTTGGCTGGCAACTAACACCAGACACATCCACCACGGCCACATGCTGCAAATGCTCGACCTGCCACATGTGGCGCCGCATTTATATATACGGAAATCCGTGCATGTGCTGACCCGCACGCGAGAGGTTGCCGCCTAATCGAATTTTATGCATTTGTGATTTGATTATTGTTTCCAAAGTTCCGTTCTAACACCTGGCTGCAGGAGCGCCAATAACAAGCAGGTGCGCTCTCATTAGGGCTGTGACCGGCTAGTACATACCCTCAGACCACATCCTGCATGGGAAATGCCGCCTTGATTAACTTCGGTGTTTATGGTCCGATCTTTGTGAAATATTCAAAGCTTTAACATGCCATGCATAAGTATGTATATATCGAGACATCTATAAGTGAAATAGGCTATATCCATATAAGGCGAGCTAATCGTAAGCTCGCTCTGAATATATATACTAAGTCTCTATCTATCGAATCGTCTGTTCGTCGTGCTCAAGAACACATGTAAATACTTTGTGGGTTCGCAGATGCTTTCATCATTTGCACAAAAAACATAATACCCTGTTTAGCCATTGTCAGCGAATACAGGGTATACGAATTAGTTGTGTTATCCCCATAAACAAGGTAGTTATTATTAATATAAAATATGATTGTTTGCTCCGTTTATTGTTTTCACTTTCAACGTTTTATTATTGAAGCATTTGCCCCATTTGGTTTTGTATATGCCCGAACTATTTGCAGATAGCCAAAGACTGATTAAGCTTATTTGTCTGATTGTGTTTTTATCAGCAATTTTTCTGTTTTATTTGAGAATGTCGAAGAGTGCGCACTTCAACTAGAAATGCCTCTAATTAGCAGAATCTTTGAGCCCAAAGAAAACCCTTATCTATCTATATATACACATCCTACGCATACTTTATATCTTATATACCCATATCTCTCTATTGCTGCGCTTAATATGATGAGCCAAGTCCATCGAATTGAGACTCAAAACTTGACATCCGCCATTTTCGCACATTTCAGTCGCGTTAGTCTCTTTTGTTCATACAACCCTTGCTCCATTCAAGAGCATTGGACTTCAACTTCTCACAAAAGTCTTTGAAAATGAGCTTGAAGCCGTTCGAAAGGTAAATAAAAATGTTTTTGCAAGCCGTTTTCCGCCATTTTTCCACACTTGCGCGTGGAATTTCTGAAGACCTCAAGACCATTTTACCGTGCACTTACCAGATCAGGTCAGTTACTCTTACTGGAGACAAATAGCCAGCATGGTCAGCCATTGAAGTCGATAGAAGAAAACACGAGCTTCTAGTCGGGAGCTCCCGACTAGCGGAAACCCTGAATCCTCCTCTTCCTACATCAAATATATATATACATATTCTATTTTAAAAGCTATATGTCAAGTTTGGTGACTCTAGCTCTTAATATTTACCAAAATTGCCCAAAAAACTGGATATCGATATCGATTCTTATCGATTGCTTGGAAACGGAGTAAGTTATCGATTATCGGAAACAAACTCGATCTGCGCGGGCACTAGGAGCACCTACAGCTAAATTTCAAGTCTCTAGCTCTTCATACATACGGACGGACGGACAGACGGACAGATGGACATGGCTAGATCGCCTCGGCTGATCAAGAATATATATACCTTATGGGGTCGGAGATGCTTTCTTCTGCCTGTTAGATACATTTGGATTTTGCACAAATACAATATACCCATTTTTAATGGGTTCAGGGTATAAAAATATAGTTCCCTCAGAAATTCTTGCATTTTCCGCTAGCTGCCGCAGACATATACACATTTTCTTTAATAACTTCTTTGTTTCTTGGGCGATCTTGATGAAAATTTTAACAGCAGAATTTATTGTATATTCCCAAAAACTTAATTGCATGAAATTGTGGCTTAAACTGGTGGGCAATTCAAATTGCTTGAATAACTTGATCGATTTGTATCGATTACTTGGAAACGGCGCAAGTTATCGATTATCAGAAAAAAAAAACTAGACAGACAGTCTACTACCAGGACAGACAGTCGAGCATGGCTAGATCGACTCGGCTTTTGATGCCAATCAAGAAAATATGTACTTTAAGGGTTCAAAGATGCTTTCTTCAGCCTGTCACACTTAAATGTATGCATACGAATTTTTAATAGGTTCAGGGTATGAAAAACTTAATCGAACTCATCGTCGCTTATTTGCTTCACGCTTCGGTGCGTCTAAATGTTGAATGGGTCGGATGAAAATGTTAAATGAGTAAGGGATACAACCAGCTTAATTAAAATGATTTTCGTAAAGTGAATCCCACAACAAAGTTCGAACCCGCCACAAACAACTAAACAAACTGTCAGGGCTTAATATTACACTAACATTTTGATTTGCAGGGGAAACTGAGATTCCATCAATAGAATTTCAAAAAGAACGCTTATGTCTTGAGGAAAAAAAAATTCTTAATTATGTGAAGACCGTATCCAAAAAATAAAAAGGACTTGATCAGTTTTAACTAAAACTAGTTCTGTTTTCGGGGAATCGACATTGAGTTTCTGCCTTTAGGCATAGGTGTTAAGAGCTTGTGGTCCCCACATTGGTATATAGAATCTCGTTAAGTACACACAAGTCCAAAGTTTTTTGAATACTTCCAACCATTCCCTCAAAGGAATAAAAAAAAAAACAGTACATATGCTACATTGATACTCAGAGAGTTCAGGGTATCTACCAGTCGGACACTCCCAACTGGAGAACTCTTACGAGTTAAATATAATTATGATGTTAAATAACCCGAATGCTGACTTTAACTTCAAAACTCATGGAAAAAAAACCAGCGTTATTCACAGCTGGGCAAACAGATAATCTATTACTAATTGTGTTACTGGGCAAAATAAGTGTGTATTATACAATTCATATATAGACATATTTGAGCTGCATGCAGATATATGAATACAGATAGTATAGCTATAGATAATTGTGTGGATAGCTTAGAGGATTGTTTGAGGATACGAGGCTTGTTGTTCCTTTGACAGATCTGACGGCAGCTGCGGCGGAGGCAGCTGCATATACTTGGCCAGATACGGGGTGAGCAGCTCCATGGGCAAGGGGAATACAATCGTTGAGTTCTTCTCCGCCGAAATGCTGCTCAGCGTTTGCAGATAGCGTAGCTGTTGGTTAATACACACAGGAAAATGCTATTGGCAATCGCATTCGAATGAAAATGTAGATGCGACTCACCTGTAAGGCGGATGGACTGGAGGAGATCACATCGGAGGCCTCTTTGAGGGCAGTGGCTGACTTCTTTTCGCCCTCGGCTGCAATCACCTTGGCGCGGGCATCGCGTGAGGCTTCCGCTTCGGCGGCCATTGCACGCTGCATGGACGTGGGCAGCGAGACATCCTTGCTGCAACGGATCAGCAACATTGATCAGCTGTATGCCTATGGCATTAATTCATATCTTACATTTCGACACGCTCAACCATTACGCCCCAGGGTTCGGTGGCATCGTCCAGAGTTAACTGCATGTTGTGGGCAAGTGTCTCGCGCTCGGTTAGCAGCTCGGTGAGATTACGTGTGCCCACAATGTTGCGCAACGTGGTGGCTGCCAGGAGGCGTGTCGATGTGCTGTAGTCCTCCACGCGCACGATCGCATACAATGGATCACAAATGCGATAGTAGACAACCGCGTCCACGGTCACCGTCACCGAGTCCTTCGTTAGCATCTCCTGCTGCGGCACATTGAATGTCACCGTGCGCAGATCCACCTTCCGATACTGATCGATGCAGGGCAATATGAAGAACATGCCCGGACCACGAGGACCGCCGCTCAAGCGTCCCAACCGAAAGATAATGGCACGCTCGTACTCGGCCACGACCTTAATGCATATGAACACGGAAATGGGGCACGTGATAATAAACACCAGCAATGAGAGCAGAGTGACAATCCATTCCATGCAGCCGAGCGGCTCGTTTTCCGCTGCAATCACAAATCAAAGGCATCCGCCATGCAAACCCCTTCATGACTAAGTTCCTGATAAGCGAATTTCAGTTGTTTTTTCTTGTCTTTTATGATGCGGGTCCACGCAATTAATCCGTTAAGAAGCTGACTCATAACCCCTTAGTCGACTAGATGATACTCTGCAAATCAGGCCTGAACTTTTCTGGGTACCCTAAACGCGACTTTGTCTATTATTAAAGAGTTTAGTTCGAAATAAGACACATGCCCGGCCCCAAACAATGCATTTAACGATCTGATTTCAGTAGAAAATTAAATTAATTAAAATTAATTTCACCAATACTCAGAAAATATATGAGAAAGCAGGGTTTGAACGAATATTGTGCGACTCCAGCTGCAGGAACCCAGCCCAAAAGCCCAAATAAACAATTTCGGTTGGGCTGTTGAACATAAACAATTTCATTGTTCTTTTGAAAATTGAAAGAATTGTGAAGAAACGAGCTTTAAAGCCGAACCTCGAAGCGAAACGCACGTTCGTAAAGGCTTTCCTGGGAACCGCACAGTCAGAGGCAATAAAAATGATTATTCTATTTGCACTTCACTTGAAATATGATTGAAGTAGAAGCTTGAGCCACAATCGATTGACGAGAGCCTCAGAGAATATTTTTCAAACTGTTTCCTACTCAAATTTCCTCAAATTGAAGCCCATATACCCCATAGGGTATTCGGATAGGCTTAACTGTTAGTTAAAAGTTGAAAAAGTTGATAGCTTCCAGTGTTATCTTCATCCTAATCAATAGAGCGAATCTTATACTTGTCCAGTCTGCCTAATATGGATATTGGACCATATCGAAGAATTTACAACATCAAATAGAATGTGAATTGCACCAAAATCAGTTCGCTTATCTAATCTTGTTTACTTTTCACAAATGGTATGCCAAATGCCAAACTACTTGTCGCTTACATGTCTTGAATCCGCGATACTCCGGCACGGGATTACGCTTGAAATTCGTGTGCACACTTTCCGGCTCCGGTGGCTGTTGAGCCGACGCTATGTTCACCATATGGGCGCTGGAGCTAGTGGGTAGCTCCGAAGCGCGCAAGTCCTCGTAATTAGAATAGAGCGGTGAATTGCGCTGCTGTTCCATGATGTTGCTGTTCGCTCCACAATGCACCCAATGCGTCGGCCAACCGCTCGTTACTGACGTCCGTGATACCAACTGTGCTATGCCAGTCTGCGGGGTATTTAGCAAAAAGCTCTCGCTCACAAGACCGATAAGCGCGAACTGCTCGAAACTTCCCACACAGGCTGCCCATTGCTCATCAATCGCACTGCCCGCTGTTCATTGCTCAGCTGACTCTCATTATAGAGGCTTATCATTCATCGATGAGCCAACGCTTGCCATTCGCAGTCAGTGCGAAAAGCTCAAGTCGAGCACTCCATGAAAGTTGGACATGTCAACAAATCTAAGGCACATGGAGTCCAACCTAACGCCATTTCACCGTCTATGGGCTAATGGGTGGGCGAGCTCGAAACTCCCGCGTCGAGCGGTCCGCATAACCTAATCCAAACCAAGAAAAAGCGCGTAGCAACTTTCCGGCTGTCTATCGAGAGAAGAGAGAAGTTGTTTAAGCTAGTTCTGTGCAATAGGGTGGCAAATTGTAGGACAAACTTTTTTTGAAAGATCGTTAGGAGCATGTGCAGCCGATTTATGTTTCCGATCTTAAATGTCTGAAGTACGCATGGCCAGAAACTAGGATGAATTGATGGCCTGAATTGGGAAACAAATTTGATCCATTTTAGTGCCAATTAATATGAAGTAGCTTAGAATTAGAGCAAGTCGTTAATTCGTAATATCTACAATAGAGGAATTTTATTTAAGCTTTGATAACAATATTCTAAAGCTCAGAGCTTTGTCGTTTTGTTCATTGATAAAAGAAAACAACAAACTGCGCAATACTCGATTCGCAGTGTGAAACCCGATTAAATGAGTTGGACTCCTCCTGCTGTTGACAAAATGGTAGCTCACACAAGACAGGCGGACGGACAGCCAGTCGGACGAAACCCATATACTTACTTTGCAAACAGAGTATAATTGGACATATACAAACTGGATGCTACGAGCCAAGCTGGATGCCACTCAATGCATATCATAAAGTTAAACAAATAGTTTACAATAAAAATACATTTTCCTCTGGCAAGCCGAAGGCGCTTACTGCTTGCTCGCGCATAGCCCGCTGGAAAGTTGGATGGCCAGCTATAATGGCAATGGAAACGGCCTCGTTGCCGGGCACTACATGTGACGCCAGTTGGTCAACATCCAGGCGCACCCTGCGCGCCTTCTCCTTGTAGCGCAGCCTTTTTTGTAGATGCTCACATAGCTCGTTGCAGTCGGCGGAGCCGCAGCTGCACTGTTGGTGCGCCAGATAGAGGCAGCTGCGGTAATTCCAGTATTGGTTGAACTCGAGCAGGCGATCCCGAAAGTAAACATGCTGCAGATTTTGTGCACATATTAGATGCCGTATGCGACTCATGTCATCCTCGTTGTCCAGCACCTGCGCGACCAGCGGCAAAGTGGGCGCAATGGCCACGCCCTGTGCTATAATGTATATGCATTTGGCAGCGCTTACATCATGCACATAATTGCCAATGGGGCCGCGAAACTCTAACACTTGCAAAGGCATCAGTGCTGCCAAATATTCGGACATGGGTCCGCCCGGTTGCAGCTTGACCAGAATTTTGAACTCTTTGGCTACAAAGTCTGTCCAATAGGGCGAGTAGGGACGCAGCAGCGGCACAGGATGTCCAGTAAGCACAGCGCGTAACATAACATGATGCCCCGGTGGAATGTCCAGTATACTATCGTCATACTCCTTGTCATTTACTGCGTAACCAAAGTGCAGCATTCGAACTTGTGCATCTCCGTTGTGCGCCTCGTTACTAAGCAGCTTGAATCTGGCATAGCTAAGGATGACATTCCGCTTGCCCGCCAGCAGTGCACGCCTACTGGGCTTAGGCTTATTGTCAAGAATGCAATTGGTGCAGCCATTGCCGCAGCAGTCGCTTTCGTCCACTTCGTGCTCAGGCATGAGCATCAACTAGAGGTGAGCGATATTTGAGTACCCTGCGACTTATCACAATTCGTCTGGAGTCACGTAATACATATTTGCCAGCATAAGCTCACTGAAATTTTACAATAACTAACTTTATTTGTAATTGTCAACTTTAAGATAATATAGCCAGATTTACCTATATTAATAGCTCTCATTTCGATCTGAGCACAGGTATAGAGCACTTTAGAGTTGTCTATATAGTTGCTTGTTATTAGTTGGTTGATATATGTTTTAATTACAAAAGCGTTTAAGCTTATTCATGGTTATTAGCCGGAATAAGTGACATTTTGACGAATAGGTCGCACAAATGTCATACGTACGAGCTGCTTGAAAATATCGTATGTTTTGTCACAGCTTTGACAACACTTGACTACTCGAATTGACAAATTATTACCCATCTCTATCGTATCGATAGCTCGTCATCGGGATTAATCGTTGCTGTTCGATACCTTTCTGATAGGCAGATAAACAACAAAAATACTCAGTATGCCTTTTTCTAACAGTATCGCAGTGTGTAAATAAAACATTTAAAGACATCTAACAAAATTGAACAAAGAATTCTTCGTTATTCTCCCCTCGGAGTGCCAGCAAGATAGAAAGCATCAGACAGCTGCAAAGGGCAACGTCGGCAACAATAATGTGCAACTAGTGGCGGACGTTTGCATCAGGATCTGGATCTTAGGAGAAATCAAGCACAGATTAGCAGTTGCCAGCGTTTGTTTTCTGGCTAAGGGAACATGAATCTGGAATCGTTATTTCGTGATTTTAACCCCTGGTAAGCAATGCAAACTATCAGCCGCCCACTTTGTACTCAATCCCCAACATCTACAGTAAATTCATAGTGCACTGCAGCCTATTCACGTTCGTTACGCTATTTGCGCTGCGCCTTGATGGATACATAGGTAAGGAAATCGCTTTGAAACCAAAACGAAACTATAAATTACGAATTACAGATTGGCCGTATTGGGCTATTTTTACGCCGTTGTGGATTTGGAAATGCACTGCCATACTAGGCGCTATAGTGGGTGCCATTGTCTGGTGCCGTTATCCCCACTATCGGCTCGAAGGCGACTCCTATACGCAGTTCAAGGCGATGCTCATCTCCTTGTCGCTGCACCTAATATTGTTAATGTTTGAGTTGTTAGCCTGCGACAAGCTCACCTCGGAGCGTCATCTCTGGGTGCTGGTCTTTATACCGCTCATCTTCGGCTCTGTTGTCAGTGTCGGCGCCTGTGTGTGGGCCGTTAAACATGATCGCTCCTTTGAGCTAGAGCTGTTTTTGGCTGTTAATGCGCTGCAGTTTGTATCGCTACCGCTCAAATTGGACAAGTTTGTTTACTGGAACTGGGATGTGGTGTTTGTGCCCATGTGGATTGTCATTTGCCTGAGCTTGGTCAGCGTACTCTACAATATAATATTCTGTGGCATTATGATGCGCACACCTGAAGTGTCGTTGCAACAGAAGAAGGCCGCACTAAATGCAGCTGTTGGTAACATTTGCACCGTCCTGCCGCTGCTCTGCTTTCAGGTAAATTGCAATCTTATCAACTTGCATTGTCGTATGTATTCACAATCACAATCTTATGCAGGTGGTTATCTGCGACAAACTGGATGGAGAGATTAAGTTTCCGTACATTGTGGTCTTCGCCCCACTGCTCGTCTCTATACTTGCACTTATTATCTTAAGCTTTACTGCGAAGGGCGGCAACATGTGGTGGTTCGGCATACGTAAATCGTTTAGCCAGTTTCTGCTCTCGGCCATGCCGTTTCTACAAGAGTATGGGAACATTAGCTATCACGCGGAAACTCAAAGCAATGGGGGTCAATCAGTGCCGCTGGATGCATCCTCATCAACAAGCAACATGGCTGTCACGGAGCCGCTGCACGAGTTTAGCAAGCACGACAAGAAGAGCAAGAAATCCGCCAAGAATGATATAATGAAGCCGGTGGTGCCATTTATTAGCATTGATTTGCCTGATTAGAGAGAGAAAAAGAGAGAGAGAAAGGGAGATATGCGATGCAACGCCGCACATATACAATAACTAAAAACAATAATAAGCATTGCTTGCAATGTTATCACACTAAACACACACACATACATATATATATATATATATTTATATATGTACACCTATTCTTAGGTGATTAGCTTTAGGCACTAGCATACATGCATACAAACTTTGGCCGTAACTAATTCGTACTGAATTTCATCTGTAAGCCTCCTCGCTCTCAGCCGATCGTCCGCGTTACACACACACACACAGACACACGCACACACACACACAAACACCCGCGCAATCTAGCCCAGGTAGTGTGCTCTTTAATATACAAGCATGCATATAATATCTGTACATATATTCGGCCTGTATTTTTTAAGCAGTTTTCTCTTAACTTAAAATCACAAAAACTTGAATATATACTATATACATATTTATATATAAATACGCATATATATTTTTAGCTTTTCGAACAAATTGTAACTCATACCGAGTGAATTGTGAATTCTTTTAGCAATATTTTATAATGCATCATTCGTTGGGGTTCAGATTCGTTTACCTTATATATGTGCAAGTATTATATTGGTGTATGCATATTTTTATGTTTTTAAGGGTTTGTACATTTTAAAAGAAATTGTAAATAATTAACAATACAAAATTAAAAATCTCTTAAGTGCTTCCAACTTATGTCCATTATTTGGGTGTTGTTGTTATAAAAGGGTTTAGAAACAAGAATCGTGAGAATCGTCATACCAAAGTCCTGTTTTAGATCAATAGACAGGTAAATCGAATTGATATTTATATGTATTAATCTTTATTCAAATTAGGAAGCTACAAAGTTTTACAATTTTTGTTGAAATATATTCGGACTTAAATTACTTACGTTGTGTTGCCTAAAAAGTTATGCAAAGGTAAAAAGTTGCACTCTAAAAAGTATCAAGTACATATTATCGTTTGTTTCGTAATATCATAAAACATATCTATATAGCAGTTGGAACAGATGAGAGGCACTCGAATGACAAGTTGATAAGGTACAACAAAATGGAAAACATATATTAATTGATGGCAAGTTTTCAACATTTATAAAAATGTCGCATGGAGAAATATATATGTATATATATATATATGTTCGTTCGTTCGCAAGTTGACAACAATACTACCAATATATAGGCTTTCAAATTAGAGTTAATTACAGGATGCTGATTTTTTAATTTTCATTGTATTTCTTCATTTTTCTTTTGTGTCGTTTCTGTTGTGTTGCATAATAACAATTGTTTGCTTACTTTAACAATAGGAAATACATAAACAAGATTTATATTTTCTGAATGCCTTACTTGCATTTTTCACCTCTCCCGGTGAAAACGCACATTTCTACATTAATTTCAATAAAAATATTCCTTGCTGTGTATAGTACAAAGTTATTACGTTATATTCAATTTGAACTTTCGATTCAATATTCAGCTAAATATTTGAAGAAAAAAAAAAAATGCACCTATAAAATATACATTGTATAACCCTAATCGTTAATAATTTGGTTAGATATTGTTATTCAAAAATACAGAAGTCAAAATCAAATCAATTGCTAACAACACAAATATTTGAAAATTCCCAAAGCATCATCTCATATATGTATCTTTAATTTCAACGCTATTGTTGTTGTTGTGCTTGTTAAGTGTCATTTTCTAAATACAATTGTTCAATGTTTTCTATTTGTTTACCAGATTTCGTTAGTTGTTGACACGGTTTATATGCAGCAGCAGCTAATTGTGGCTTATGCAATTAATATTAGTTTTTTTTTGTTTTCGTAATTTCTTTAATGATGTTCGTTGTTGCTTGTCTCAGCTTAAATGGCTATTGTCTGAATTGTTTTTTGTTTTTCTTCTGGTTTTAGAATAATTGTGTAATACTCCAGTGTTAACACTGCTGAGTCGGAGAGCGCTACATAAACCATAGGCTCGCCAATACAACATTGTTTATTTTTTTTTTTAATATTTCGAATGTATAAACGATATGTACCGCTAACGTGTTATGTATTGATGTACATGTGTGTATATATATACTTATATAGATATAGACTGTAGTTCCAAATATTGTTTTTAAACCTATGCTTGAGAAAACGAGTTACGCTTTCCATGACAATTGACATGAGATCATCAAAGAACAGCAACGGCCAAAATTGATGCGTTATATGGAAACTACTAGTTAATTTCGAATAAAATACCTTAGTTAACTGACGTACATATACATATATCCGTAGGCATACAGAAGTATATACACCACAAAGGTACACATTATTTTGACTAAAAATGGGAACATACACTTTATATTTCTGTATTGAGCACAATTAAAACATGAAAATAAAATAAAACAAATTAAAAATAAATAACATTTTGACTTGAATTTTCATCTAGACCAATATAAATTTATCTATTAGGGCAAAACGGTTTGAATACCTGTGTTCAAAGGGTTGCAAAAGAACTCTATTCAGCATTTAGCTATACATTTTAATTTCGTCAAATCGGTTTGCTCGTTAACCCTTTAATATTAAAGCTAAAGACACCAAATTTGGTATGTGTTAATAAGTAGATCAAACTTGTTTCAATTTTAAGAATTATATATATTTCGTTATCGTATACTATCTTAGAATTTACGTATTGAAACAAATATGATGGACAATATATATTTATATAAAATGAAACTTGTTCAAAAGATGAACAGCATAACTTGTTTACGAAATTGATCTATAATTAGTTGATACATATGTCCCTAAGCTGCACATCTATGCATGTATTAGACTTATGCAAAAACTATTTAATAACAGATATAGACTTTTTGTATGAAAGATCTTTAAACAGATGAGCAGCCTACAGGTTCACATGCTTTGTTTGGATGACGTTTTTTGTGGAATTCGATAAAGTATTTCTTAAAGAAGTCGGTTGATTTATGCCGCACAATACTGTTCAATACAACATGTTAATTAATTTACTTATGGTGAAAAGTGGAACTTTTGGATTTTGTACGTATAGTTAACATAATGCCGTATTAATCGTTAATCGGGTTTAATTAACTGACAAATTGGAACTTTTAGAAACAATATAAAATATTACATTTTCATATTGATTTCATTTGGTTATGGAAGCGCTAGTTTTGAATTAATGACACAAGAAATGAAGTTCAATTGGGTTGTACGTTTCGTCAGAGTGGCATTCTATATAGGTGCAATACATTCTATATATGTATGGAATTATTAATTATGTGCCTGTGTTAGTGTGTGTGTAAATTAAAAAGGTATGGGCCTAGTTGATTTTAGGCTTAGCGGCCAAATACTGCGTCAGATTCTCACGCGGTCCCTGCACAATCAGCATGAACTGTGATGGAAAGTCCCAGATAATGGTAAAATGGAACAGCATATTGGCAATGGCAATTAAATATTCAAAGAATGCAAACCAACTGAATGCTGTAAAACACAAAGATACATTACTATGACTGTTATAAGAGTAGCTAAAACTTACAAGTTGGGCGCGTGATATTTAAAAAAAGAAAGCTAATCTGAATAGATCTACCGCGACAGAGCGAAAGACGAATACAGTTGATAATTGCCATTTAAATTACACAGGAGTTTATTGGCTTCGTGTAAGTTCCATTATAAAGACTGAGCTATCACAACAACAATCACGTGCCCAACTTATAGCATAGCTTTGTAAGTGGCTCACCCAAATCATGGCAATAGAAACGATGTTTGGCAAAGAAGACCAAGAGACCAATGGTGCTCAGTATGGAGACAACAAAGAGTATTTTCTTCCATTTGATGGACTGAATCTGTTGTGCGTTTAGAGTTTTGCGTGCATTCAATATACCATTCAGGTGAATGGTAGCCAGCATATAGCACAGCGAGCAAACCATAAATGTGATAAAGATCTTCTCATGAACGGCTGTAAATTTAATAGTGGTCATTAATAGGTTAACGACGAGCTGAAATGGCTGAAAAATAATAATGTTTAGCTTACGATAATTCTCGCGATTCGATATATAGGTCACTCCACCCAACGCCGCAATCTCAATGCAGTTAAGCACCAAAATGAATGAGATTAACCAGCTTGTCTTTGGCACCAGCGACGGGGCAAGCCGCGCCAGCTGGGCGCGATAATAGTTCTTGTAGACAAAGGCAATGGGTATGCGCGGCCCGATGTGCAGCGCAATGCTGGCCCGCCAGAAATAACGCTGCGGACTAACACCAGTAATTGCACTTATCGAGGGTACTATATTGTAAACCTGCACAGACACAAATTTGGAATATTAGCAAATATGATTGCATAAATATTTTCAACTCCAGCTGCACATACCCGGCAATGTGTCTCGTGTACATCGTCGTACTGGAATATGTAGGCGGTCACAAAGCATGTAAAGAGCGTTACTAATGGCAACAGGGCCGTCACCACGCAGATCTCATGGAAGCTGGCCAGATAATGTATGGCAATCGGTTGCTCATGCTGCAGTTCCTGTTGCTTGCAGCTCGATGTTGTTTCTTCCTGTTGTTGCTGTTGCTGCTGCTGCTGCTTTGAGGCGGCGTACTGCGAATGCGAGAATCAAGCGAAGTTTTAGAACAGAAAGATACAAAAGATATTCGGGTATTGGAAATATGAGGTAAACACTCTTTGATGAATTGGCGCTTACCTAGCTAAAACCCTGGAATACATTTTCATGATGAGTTTGTGGTTAGGTGCACAACAACAAAAAGCTCTATAATAAAATAATAAAAGAAAAATAAATCTATGTTTATATGAAAATCATAAATAAATATTGTTTTAAATGCATTTTCATATATAATTAAACGATAATTAAAATATAAATTTAAATGTATTAATATGTGTTTTTAGAAATAACAAATCCTTGACCATAAAGTCAGGCAGAAGACATTCCCAACTGCGTAAAGTATATATTCTCGATTAGTCCGCTTTCCAATACAGGCAAAGCCAGTTGGCATCGACCGAACCGGATATCTCCGTAAGCCATATGTTTACAAGCGTATCTGAGCGTCGGATGCCCGCGCCTGCTTGTTATTTCTCAACTCAATGATAAGTGAACATTAATTCCAGAAGTCTATTCTAATTTGCCTTAAAAATAAACGTGAATAGTCGTTTGTCTTGAAGTATCTTGCCATTTTATTTTGCAATCAAATTTTCGTATTGTCAAGAAAAGCGCCCGCTTCCGGTCAGAAAAGCGTTCGCCCAACGAAGGGAAATTTGTTTGTTTACAAGCCAAAAACAATATATTTTGTACGTGTCTGTAAACATTACAGCTAAATAGTTGCAATTGTTTAAACAAAAATGTATTTTTGGAGAATGTAATGCCATGAGATTTTGGAAAAACTATAGTCTAAATATAGAAGAATGATCTGATATAGGTTGCGCAAAAAAAATTCAAACAGGAAAAGCAGTTGAGATTTTATAGGTTTAATAACAAAATTAGGAATTTAATTAAAAATGAAACTCAATTTGAATGAGGAAAAAAACGTTTGATAAAAACTTAGATAAAGATGGAAAGCAGAATACAAACTTAAACAAACGACAAACTTGCGGACAATTAATTTGTTATAAGCTTGAAAATTGATTAAATTAAGTCAAGTGAAATGAAATGCAATTTTTTTTTTTTGAGTAATAAAACGCACACAGAAGGCAAAAATGCCAACTACAACATTCTACCCCAATATCATGATGTTTTCCTTTGAGCCCAAAGCAAGCTAATATTGAATTAAGTATTATTTATACCTAATTGCAGATTAGACCTAAGAACTCTTGAAGGGAATTCAATTTAACTTAATTGAATTGAATAAAATGCAAGTGAAAAGCTTTAGTTAAAGCGACAGCAAAAATGACAAAAATTCTCTAATGGCATTTTGTCAGCCTTGAGCGTCACCAAAAAGGATTAATGCCAGAAATAGTCAACCATCAGACCTGTGTCTGCGTGTGTGTGTGTGTGTGAAACGTAAGATAGCCCTGACGTAATCAGCACGGAACTGGCATTGCCTCAGGCTCTGACCAAATTACGTATTTAGCGCGAAGCACAAGTTTGCGAGACATGAATTGAATTTTTTCGATTTTCGATTAAATCAGAACAACAACAACAAAATAGTTGTTGTAACTAACTGTAATAGAAATAATGAATATAATATAAGCAGCAATTAACAAACGACAGGCAGAGGCACTCAAGTCACAATGTGGGGCAAAGGGGGCGCGCGACGCATGCAAGCACATTTTGCTGCACAGCTGGTTAGCGAAAAACGTGATGCAGCAGATGAGGAAGAAGAAGAAGAGGAAGCAGCTACAGCAGCAGCTTTATGAGAAATGTTTAAAAGCAAATGGTAAACAAAATGAATATTGACAAATGCCGCAACAGAGTCATAAGGTTTTTATGTGCAAAACAAGGGAAAGCAGGAAGACGCAACACGCACGTGAAGCGGGCGGCGGAAGGAGGTCAATGTGGGCCCAAGTGGGTGGCATGCGCAGCAGCGCTTAAGTCGCGGGAACGGGCGGGCGGTGGTATTGGCACGTTTACCGAACAACCTGACAGCGGAAAATTACAATAGCGAAAACAAAATGAACAAAACAGAACTGGGCTAGCAATAACAATTGCCCAGCTCGTGACGTCTGCGGTGTGTGTGTGGGTGTGTGTGTGTGTGTGTGTGTGTGTGTGGGCGTAAGCGGGCTGCAGGGGTAAGGTCAATAAGCGTGCGCTGTCATTGAGTTATATAATGGCTAAGGCCTAAATTGATGTCCAAAAGAAAAATTAAAGCCAAACCTGCGATCTGCAATTGGAAAAAAATACTAAAAGCATGGCACACATTCACACACACACGCACACAAGCGCGCGCTTGGAGGTCTGTACACAGAGCAACACACACACTTGCACTCACCGCTGGACCACTGGAGTTGCCACGCTCGCCGCTCTTGCTCCTTAGATTGGATCCGGATGCTGTAGCTGGCGTCGCACTTGAAATTGTCGCGACGCTATCTAGTGCTGTTGTCGCTAGCGATGCTCCTGCTGGCGCTGGCGTTGTTGGATTCATTTTCTGCATATTTGAAGGCAGCGTTGATGCTGTTTAGCATAATTTGTACGCCACGCTGCTAGCGACGAATGTATGGCCCCGCGCGCGCTTGTCTCACTTATTTTTTTTTTAATAAAAATGCCAATGGATTTTCACTTTTTCATCTTTTGAAGCGCGTGAAGCAGTTTTTATGTCAGCCCCCTGTTACACTTGAATGTACTATTAATGAGTAACATTGAGAGAGCACTGTGTACGAGCATTTCACTGCTATGTTAAATATAGGAAACATTCTATTAACAGTTCTGTTAGCTCGCTACTCATTTTTTCGCACTCACCAGTGCTGTCAACTATCGATTTCTAAAGAATACAGATCGACGTAAAAAAGCCAAATTAGATTTAGATGAATTGCAAATTCCCTTTTTTGTCGAAATAATTAAAATTCTGCATAATTATTTGCATATATTTTTAAATACACACATTCATTAAAATGTTACCATATGGAGACATTGTCTTTCAATGTAACGTTCAGTCTGCACAACTTTGTTTAAAAATTGCTAACCAAAACAATATATAATAATAATTTGTAGAAGACTTAAAAAAAATAAAACTAATAAAAAACAGCAAAATATATTCCGGCCAACACATTTAAAAAAAGGCTAACAGGCAAAATATGTTACTGTTATGTACACGCAATGTAAACGTAGTGCACCTGCAAGCCATGTTGCTTACGTTATTAACATCGATAACGATATTATCGATACTTTTCCTGTACAAGCAATAATTCTTTTAAAGAGTCCAACATTCAACAAGTGCAATTGTAATCAATAACAAAATAAATTTCCATTAACTAATTAGCTGCCAAATCGAATTAATAAAACGTCAATGAATCATAGCACAATACGTTGAATGCTCGGCAAGCCTCAAAGAGCCAACGCAAAAATACCTTAACATACATACATCCAACATATTGTAGAAGAGATTCCGACTTATGCATGTTTTCATAATTTGTTAATAAAAATAAAAATATCAATTAATAATTAAAAAACGATGAGTTGCTTTAGTGCAATGAATACACCCCTATTGGGGGAAATGGAGCAGACAATTTGCATGCTAGAACGCGGAACAATTGTAACGAAACTATATGGAAAACAACGACGCCCCGATCGGCGACACCTCATGCTTATCAGAGAAACCCGTCAGCTGTTATGGTCCACTGTCGCTGCACAGACACGCACCGAGTACGAGGGAACGATCCAGTTGCGGGAGATACGCGAGATACGCGTCGGCAAGAACTCAAAGGAGTTCCGACTCCATGCCGATGACTGCCAGCGCTTCGAGAGCAGCAAATGTTTTGTCATTATGTACGGCAACAGTTTCAAGCTGAAGAGCTTCTCTGTGGTGGCGCTCTCGGAGATCGAAGCGGATAACTGGGTACGGGGATTAAGGTATATGGTTAAGGACACCATCCATTCACCGTATCCACTGCAAATCGATCGTTGGCTGCGGCGTGAATACTATTCGTTCGAGAATGTTAACTCGCACCTGACCAAATCCGACCAGAGCTCCCAAGTGACCATCAAGGATTTCAAAACATTCTTGAGCAACGTTAGCTGCAAAATGAGCACCAGTAAATTTATGGAATGCTTTACAGATGATATAAAACGCAAGCATGATCTGAAATTCGACGATTTCTCGCGTCTGTATCAGAAACTCTTGCTGCCCGTTAATTTCATCAGTGTCCTTGGTAGTGCGGAGTTCGCTTATTCGGAGGACAAGAAAATAGTAAGGCCCATTGAGTTTAAACGTTTCCTGGAAACTGAACAGCACGATTTGAATGCCTTGGATCTGAATAGCATATCTAGTTTTATGCGCGACTTTGTGCAGGACGTTGAACGCGATGTGCAGGAGCCATATTTAACCATCTCCGAGTTTGTCGATTATCTCTTTTCCAAGCAAAATGATCTGTGGGACACAAGATTCGATGCCGTGTTCATGGACATGAACCAGCCGTTGTCCTCCTACTGGATAGCCTCATCCCATAACACATATCTAACGGGTGACCAGTTCTCGAGCGAATCCTCTTGCGAGGCTTATGCACGTGCTCTCCGCATGGGGTGTCGCTGCATCGAGCTAGACTGCTGGAATGGTCCTGACAATTTGCCATACATATTCCATGGTCACACCATGACATCAAAGATTAAGTTCATGGACGTCATCAAGACTATTAAAGATCATGCATTCACAACGTCAGAGTATCCAGTAATTCTATCCATCGAACAGAACTGCTCCTTGGAGCAACAGCGAAATATGGCACATGCGCTGATTGAGGTGGGCTTAACAGATATTCATATACGAATCGTAAATGACATGTTTATATCTTCTGTTCCAGGTCTTTGGAGATATGCTGCTCACACAGCCCTGCGATCGAAATGAGCTGCATTTGCCGTCGCCCAATCAGCTGCGTCGCAAGATAATTCTAAAGCACAAAAAGTTGCCGCAATTCGATGAAAATGTTAGTGCAATTAATTTACCTGCGGTTGGTGTTAATAATGGAACGATCGCTTCATTTAGTCATCGATCTTCTCTGGGTGGCGCAACGGATGATAACGAGAATTTGCAGAAAATCTTAAAGAAAGGCTTGCTGTACTTTAAGGACCCAGTCGATAAATCGTGGAACCTCTATCAGTTTGTGCTCACCCAACAGGAGCTTATCTACACATCCGAAATCAGCGAATGCCGCAACGGCAATTCAGAAGATGATGATTTCGGACTGTCGTCCTGTACGCTGAATAGCAATATGCAGCAGAAGCAGAAGGATACATCGGCCAATGATGAGCTGCATTTTGGTGAAAATTGGTTTCACGGCAAGTTAGAGGGTAAGTGTTTCGATTTGTCAATTATTTAATCTTTTTAATCTTCGTATTTCTTATTCACTGCCACGAAAACAATTTGTCCCTTTTGCCCATTTGCAAGAGGTTGGGGGGTATAAATATGCTCCCCCCAAGATAAAAGCTTATACGCATCGAACTACATTATAATTGATATTATTATAAGATAAATGTTTTCGTCTTAGATTAGTATTTCTTTTGGCATCTTTTTGTTAGGTGGAAGACAAGAGGCGGATCAGTTGTTGGAAACGTACAAACACCTGGGCGATGGCACATTCTTGGTGCGCGAGTCGGCCACGTTTGTGGGTGATTATAGCTTGTCCTTCTGGCGGCGCAATCGGCCCAATCATTGCCGTATTAAGCTGAAACACGAGAATGGCTCGATTAAGTATTATCTGGTTGAGAACTTTGTATTTGATTCGTTGTACTCGTTGATTGTGTACTACCGCAAGAATATGCTGCGTAGCTCAGAGTTTTCCATTATCCTCAAGGAGCCAGTACCACAACCAAAGAAGCACGAAAGTCAGGATTGGTTTCATCCAAACACCACAAAGGAGCAGGCCGAGCAGGGTCTGTTAAAGCTGGACATTGGATCGTTTCTGGTGCGGCCATCGGTGCAGAGCGTCAATGCGTTTGTCATATCCTTTACGATAAATCGCAAAATCAAACACTGTCGGATCATGCAGGAGGGTCGCCTATATGCCATTGACACAATGCAATTTGAGTCTTTAGTATCGCTAATACACTATTATATGAGGAATCCGTTATATCGCAACGTCAAGCTCGTCCATCCGGTTTCCCAGGAGCTCCTGCGACAGAGCCTAATAGAGAATGCCCAATTGCACGGTGAGCATAGCAATAACGATAGCTCTGGTGCTTCCAATTATATGGGCTCCAATCTGGAGGAATATGTCACATGCAAGGCCCTATACAGCTATAAGGCCGACAAGCCAGACGAGCTCTCCTTTCCAAAGCACGCGATCATAACGAATGTGCAGAGGAACAACTCCATGTGGTGGAAAGGTGATTACGGTGGCATGATACAACAACATCTGCCGGCTAACTATGTCAAGGTAACCAATTCTTATTCTTAATGATATATAATTTCTATACTAAACAAATGAATCTTCTCTTTCTATATTTTAAAGGTCATTGATTCCGCAACTGAGGATTATAATTCGGTCACTGAGGAGGGCAACGATGGGCGCACCGATTCAATTGAGATCTATGGCGCAGTGGCGTCTCTTTTCGAGTCAAACGAGCCTGGAATTATAATAAAGCTGCAGATTCAAACGCCAACAATGCAAAATCCATTTATAATCGGATTTGACAACCAGGAGACGGCGTACGAGTGGATCAAGTCCATACAGGACGCAGCACTAATTGCTAGTCAATTGGCGACAGAACGACGTAAAAAGGAGCGCACGGCACGCGTAGCCAAGGAGATGTCCGATTTGATCATCTATTTTCGCAGTGTACCGTTTCGGGATCACTCTTGGATATTCCAAGAAATGTCTAGCTTTCCCGAAACAAAGGCCGAAAAGCAGTTTATACAACAAAATATGCCGCTCTTTCTGTCGTATCATCGCAATCAAATAAGCCGTGTATACCCGAAGGGTCAACGCTTGGACTCATCCAACTTTAATCCGGTGCCATTTTGGAACATTGGCTCCCAAATGATTGCACTGAATTATCAAACTGGCGACAAGGCCATGCAGCTAAATCAGGCCAAATTTCGAAATAATGGCCAATGTGGCTACATACTGAAGCCAGCGTTTATGATGTCCGAGAATTTTAATCCCAACAATCCCTTGTCTGACGGCCTCATCGAAACGAAGGTTAGCGTACGCATCATTGCAGCTCGTCATCTATTCCGCGGTGGCAAATCGAATAATCCGCAAATTGTTGTGGAAATCGTTGGCGCCAGCTTTGACAGCGGCATCAAATATCGCAGCAAGGTCAATGAGAATGGATTCAATCCCATTTGGAACGAATCCTTTGAGTTCACAGTGCACAATCCGCAGTTTGCGCTGCTGCGCTTCGAGGTCCAGGACGAGGATATGTTTGCCGAAACGCATTTCATAGCCCAGGCCTGCTATCCATTGACCTGTGTGCGCCAAGGCTATCGCAGCGTGATCCTGCGCAACAAGTTCAGCGAGGAGCTGGAGCTGTCCTCGCTTTTAGTCAATATAGAGATTTCAAATCGGGAATCTACTTAGTGCAATAACACAGCCCGAATTCAAGTATTTTTAAACACAATGCATACATATCACAAAACACCACGTACATACATATCTTACCCAACCACATATTAACTATATCATATACATACATACATATATCGCAGCTAGCAT